GGTTCGGGCTTACGCTACTACCGACCGCTGCGCAGCTGTCACCTAGCGCCTGGGAATGTGTGGTCTGGTGCGGATTCAGCCAACTACCGGCTCGCGACACCAGCGCCACGTAGTGGCGACGGTACATTCTTTTTAGACACACTGTACATAGGTGGAACCAAGCAGCACATTGATTCAACAGTTGTCTTATCAAAAGGTCAGTCTAAGTATAGTGCGCGGCACATGGGAACACATTTAACTCGTGATAAGAATGAGTGTCCTGCAAAACTAATGCACTCCGTCTCTCTGTGTCCGTGCTGCTGGATGGATTGGTCTGGGTCCATGTATCTCACGCAGTTGAACCATCAGCAATGGCCAGATATCCAGTACTGGTTGAATTCTGTCTGAATTCAACGACGCGCAACTCGTTCTGGCTGCCACATCCCAGGAGACGCCCTCCTATTCACATCTGTGATTTCCCGCCGGAGTCTGAAACTCAATGGCTTCGGCTGACTTTGCCATGTGGTGCTGCTCACAAACGCTGCTGGAGTAGATATTTGTGTTCCATCCACCCCCACAACAAACCAACTGCACAGACTTTATTACGTTCGGATCAATAAACCGACAGAACCTCTCTCTGCAGTGTGAACTATTCATTCCTCAAGCCTGTTTTTTTTTTTCTCGAGCACCACGATTCTCCCTTCTGCCCGTTTCGACTCACAATCAACAGATGCACTGGATTGGTGTGACCCGTCCCAAGCCCATCCTCGTCCCCAGTCCAATTCCTGTTCATCCTAGTACAACATCATCTCTGGCTTGCCCCCAACGCTTTACCATCTCTGATCGGTCTATGCAACCCATCCTAGTCCCACTCTCGTCCATGGTCCGTCCCTATAGCCCATCTCGCCCCATGTCCGTCCCATTCTCTCCCTAGTCCCACCCTCGTCCTCCTGCCTGCTGGCCAGTGACCCGGTCCAGCGCGGGGCCGTTTTACCGGCTGTTCTCACACCCAACCGCCGTCCGACACGGAGCACACGCGAGCCGAGCCGGTCCGCCGCCGCGCCGGTCCGCCGCCGGACTCCAGGCTATCACGAACAGCGCCGACCGCCCGCCCACGGCTCCGGCCGTAACTCAGCGCCACATGCAGCGAATTGTGCGGGGAGCTCGCGGCAGCTCGGGTCCCGGTCCCGGCGGGCACTGACCCGTGCGTGCGTGAGGGTGTGAGGGCCTGAAAATGTATTACTGAACTGAGTACTGGTATTTGAGGGTTGGAAACACCTCAATTATTTCCATGAAAAGTTGAAAAACCGTTTTCTATTTGATAAGTCAATTAGCTCGTATTAATAATCCTAGTAGATAATGTGATAGGATGTACTTTGAAAAGGATTTTGTGCTCTGTTACAGTGCATTTCGATAGAGCTGATAGCCAGCAACTGCTGAGTTTTGCCATGTGAGGAATGAGAATAGACTCTGTCATTCGAAATCAGTACCATTGCATTGGAGCCGGAGGAAGACCTTTACCCGACTCAGCTTCAAAGTTTTGAATAAAGCTTCCGACAACTTAACTTGGTATCAGATCAGACAGTCCGCCATTAGATCAAACGGTTGTGCATTTCATGATAAATTTTAGCAATGAAACATCGAGCGATGCATGCTTTGCTTTTAACTGATTCTATATTTGGATTTGACAGGCACGAATTCTTTATTTATTTCAAAGATAACCGGAGGAAAAGTTTCACCATGATGCATTAAGTGTGACGGGATGGCAGCTCGCGTTTTTGAACAGCGGAAAAGGCTTTTAGAGCGGAAACAGTGATATGGCCAACTACGCTCGCTTCGTAAATGCATTTGACTGATTATTTTCCTAGAGCTATGATCACATCACTAAGGAAATTTTGGTAGCAATGTACAAAACAGAACGTTTAAAAACGATAATTCCTTATAATTATAAGCCAATTGTTAACGCAAACTTGAGTGCCTTTTGAGCGTTATACGGTTATCAATTTTGTAATAATGTGGATCAAAGTGCTCCTTTTCTGCGTACTACTGATATTAGTAAATGTAGCCCTTATTAAAACAAAGCCAGATGGTGGCTCCAGCCGTCACTTCTTCATATGAAGCACTCAGTCATTTTCTGCCGGTCTTCACCTCCCCCTGTTCTCAATCCCAGCCGGGCCTTAAGTTGCCACCCACCGTCACCAGCCAGGCTTGACGGGTCGGTCGCGGGCCGGCCCAATTGCATTAGCCCGGCCTGGACCCGACTGGACCAGAGCCCGCAGTGCAGGTCACGCAGAATGGCGTGGGGCCGGGCCGCCCATTCGACGTCACAGCGGCGGCCGACGCACACCGACAGGGCTGCGCGCCGCACCCGGCACCGCTACTGCCTCTCGAGTCGTCAAACAAGGCATAACTTTCCGGTGCCCCGATTAGGGTCCTGGCTGCTTTATTACGCGCCAGGCTGCGGCCGGCGAGCGCTGCGGGGATGCCGTCGAGCCGAGTTGTAAAACACTGAGCCCGCGACGCGCGCCGGCATTAAAACTTTAATTTGTTCTAAGAATATTTATTTAAAAATGTGAGTGATACTAAACAGAAGACATGACTACTCAACACACACTCACAACGCACATATGTCGTAGCACATTTCTTCCACAATAAATTCTTAAATTCGTGCTCCATCCTCAAAGTTTTCTGTTCAGGGGAAACTTTGGAACTGCTGCTGTTCTTGACCCAATAAAATCGCCTTCCTTTTTATTGTTCTAACCTCTCTATCTCCTTCTCATCCTCTCTCTCTCTCTCTCTCTCTCTCTCTCTCTCTCTCTCTCTCTCTCTCTCTCTCTCTCTCTCTCTCTCTCTCTCTCTCTCTCTCTCTCTCTCTCTCTCTCTCTCTCTCTCTCTCCCTCCCTCTTTCTATCTCCCTCCCTCCCTCCCTCCCTCGCCCTCTCTACTCTCTCCCTCTCTCTACCATTGCAGTCGGCTCCGCTGCCGTCGCCGCCGGTGCGCCGGCCGATGCCGTATGGATTTTCGGTGCCGGTCGGGTTGACCGTGGCTCCGGCGACATGTCCTATGGCACTGGGACACGGCACATTCATCACGGAGGAGCGGGGTCAGTGCGGCCCGGCGTGTGCCGCCGACAGAACGATCACGGGTGCCGCGCGCGACCCGCACACCAGCGCAGACGCGCTAATTAAATAGGATGGTGTGCTTCGGATTTAGGCCAACGCATTTTAACGCATTGAGGGTGAGCGAGACTGTTTCGTTTGAAATGCACAGAAAACTTCCTTGGTGGATTGGTGGAAAGCCTGGCTTGGTTTTGACGAGTTGAGGTAGATTTTAACCAGTCCAGTGGGAAACGATTAAGTTGCCTTATGTGTTATTGTTAAATTGAATGATTCTGTTCCATTTTTCTAGGCAACAAATGAAGCCCTGAAGTGTGCACTCACCAGCATTCATTTCGGTCAAGGCTCTGCTGGTCCTTGGCTAATGACACGTCCCGAATGACACGTGAATGGCCGGTAAACATGCAAGTATCGACTCGGTAGGGTGTCATGTGAACCTTCATTGGCCACAGGCCAGCTATTGCGCGTAGATGATCGTTGAGCCAGGCACGGACTGCGCTAATTGAATATAAAACACCTTGTTTGTAGGTCACGGGCTTATGCGATCAGACAAAAGGCATTATAAAGGGAATGGATTCAAGATACACTGGTTCTATGCGTGTTGAAGGGTTATTTAGAATTTTGACGTGATCATCGTGCAGAGCTCAACGAGTAAGCAAGTGATGTTGGTAAAAGCAAAACAGAACAAAACAAACAACTAAAGGGTTTAATTGCGTGGTGAATTTTATGGTCTGCACTGTTTAAGCGCTACGTCGAAACCCTTCAATGGAAAGGTTAAAGGAGTATTTAAACTTTATAGCACCTCGAAGCCTAGATTTATGAAAGTTTTAGTGCTATCTGACATTACTAAGATCTGCTTGCACATTGCACAAGCTATGAAAAGATAAAACTGACAGCACAATCAAATATAACCATTTTGCCAAATAATTTATGGGACTATAATAATTGCCAGAGATTTCATTGCAACTGAACGTATGACTTATAGCATAACTGTGCACTATGCAGTTTGCATTGAAAATGCAATGCTATACATTTTTGAAATACATAGCACTGCAAATGAAATCCGTGATGTGACTGAAACCTTAATATCTTAAAAAGATTAGCTTATTTTTCAGCTTTGTCAGCATGAAGTTTAAATGTGACAAGCTAGAAATGCTCAATACTTACGTATGCCATGCGCCGTTTCAGAAATCACCGTGGCGAAAATAAATTGATATTTTACGCCCCGCCCCTTGTGACAAGTTGAAGTTTGTTTCCACAATGTTTTGATCAAATCCCAATCCAAGCAGTGTCAATGGAAAGCACGATCAATGGTTTCGCACTAATGCAGCCGTGCTGCCTCAGACCCGCATTGTTTTCCATCATTCTCCCTAGATGTCGCTAGCAGTCGACGCCTGCAGTTGTACGCTGTGCCGCAAAACACCGGAATGCCACCACAGCGCTGCTGGCGATGGGCGTGGTTAGAGAACTGAGAAAATCAATCGGTTGCAATCGCTTCGGCACCGAGTAATAGCGTTAGATTCCGAGGAGCTCCACGCCGTGTAATACGACGAGCGGAGTCTTATTATTACTGTGACGTCGTCGAACAGTTGTTAGCATAAAACTCGTTAGTCATTGGATTTGACTGTTTTTGATGTTAGAATTCCGAATTAGGCACTCATTCGATTGACAGTGCGTCCAAGCCATGTGTTGTGTACGTAACAATTTACAAGCCTAACCGTGATTGAAACCGAGCCTCATTAACGACACATACCTAGTACCTACGCAAAATGATTTACATCAACCTATGAGGCATGTCGGAGCACAAGAGGATATCTCTGCGCCCCTGTAAGCCTCGTAAGAACTCTTTGTATGCCCCACGGCGTAACTCTTTGCTGATGACGCGTGTGCTCCCTGCTGTTTCAGTCGCTCGCGCCCGTATCGTGGGCAACCGGGAACAGCACGTCAAGTCGGGCAGTGACGTCAATTTGACATGTCAGTTGAGTCACGACTCGAGCGCCATCTATTGGTACCACCGCGACAAGGTGGTGACCTCAAACTACTACCAGCCGGGCAGCCAGAGGATACGGATAGAGACGGCGCCCACCTACAGCAGGTCAGTGTGACGTCACAGCCAGAGACGGCGCCCACCTACAGCAGGTCAGTGTGACGTCATAACCAGAGACGGCACTAACATACAGCAGGTCAGTGTGACGTCATAAACATAACATAGAGACGGCGCCCACCTACAGCAGGTCAGTGTGACGTCGTAGCCAGAGACGGCACCCACCTACAGCAGGTCAGTGTGACGTCATAAACATAACATAGAGACGGCGCCCACCTACAGCAGGTCAGTGTGACGTCGTAGCCAGAGACGGCACCCACCTACAGCAGGTCAGTGTGACGTCATAAACATAACATAGAGACGGCGCCCACCTACAGCAGGTCAGTGTGACGTCGTAGCCAGAGATAGCACCCACATACAGCAGGTCATTACTCATTGTAACGCTACAACAACGTTTTACATCAAGCTGTTTAGTGTCAAGACATCAATCATAATTGATTGAGATGCACTTCTCGTTTTATTTAGTGCCACATTTGTCGTGCATCTGCCTCGATCACGATTACAAAGAGAACAATCCATCCCGTCAATCAGAAGTAATTGTGCCCATTTAGGTACTCGTGATTTACGGAGATGTGTTTTAGAGCTTTCTCAACTTATTTTTAGATACCTACCTCATGCCAATGGTTGATTACAGACATCGCTGACAAGTGCATACATTTTATTGCTGCCATGGAACAGAGGCCGTTGTGCAATATATTTAGTTTTGATTTTTTCTCCATTTATATCTCTTTTGCCTCAGTCTGGCATGCAATATTGTCTTTACACTGTGCCTTATAACTTCCGCAGATGGTAGCTGAGCTACGGTGGCTTTTTAGTGCTTAGCCTACCGTGGAATAAAATGGGAAACACTGCTACCAAACTGAGCTTACGACATGAAGTTAACGATTCTGACTCTTGTCTAGCAACTCAAAACTTGCTGCTTATAGCTTCTTGGCATAGAATGTGGCTCCAGTGACGAGCAATGACGACGAAAGGTCATGCAAAGGCACTCAGCTTCCTCATTCCTCGTTTCATCGCCATATTAGGGGTATGCGGTCTCATTCTTGAGTAGCTATAAACAGTTTAACGACAATCTCACAGCTCCGGTGCATCGTAAACCGGGCCGGGGAGTCTTGAAATATTTCTTCTTGTGGCGCTTGGACGGCAACAAAGAAAAAAGATTGCAGGTGTGTTTATGCAGTGACCTGCGGTTCTCTGTGCCTAGAAAATATTAGACCGAAAACTTCTGTCATTCATTTCATATGGAATAGACTTCAGAACATTCAAGTGATTGCACCATACAAATAACCTAATCCTGACCTTTTTGCATCATTTTGTATTGCAATTAGGACACTTCTTTTGTCAGCGTGCCGTGCTGGAACATAGAACCATAACCCCTCCCCCATTGATCTCAAACTCTACTCTACTCACCACTTCCATGGATGCACCACAGAACCACCCCATGAACTCACCATTGCATTGTCCAATCATTGTCCCATAGGATCGCAAATCCATCACAGTCGCACTGACCTTCCACATCCCATAGATCCCCTTCCCATCAAACCCACCACACTCCCCTCTCCCATCAAACCCACCACACTCCCCACCTCCCCATCAAACCCACCACACTCCCTCTCCCATCCACAGACCCAGTACTGCGCAGCTGGCCGTGCTTCTGTTTGATGAACCCGGCCCGTGCTGGCGGCACCAGTAGTCCCCGAGGTGTATTAGGCTGCGATCAGTGCAGCTCCGCAGGCGGCCACCGATGCCGCCGCGACACAACTCCGTCGGAAGCCGGCGGCGGCCGGTCGACATCAGGGTGTTTTGCCGCCGCCAGCTGCTGTCGATCCTCATTGAAACTCGACGCTGTCACTTCTCACAAGCCAGCCAGGCCTCAGAGACGATAACTTTTTGTTGCCGCGGGAGGTGGCCGTCACAAAACGCAGCTCAGATGCCGATTGGAGAAGGCTCATTGGCAGGCGACGTGGCGGACGCCTGGGCTGTTATACTGGCCCGCCGGGCACGGAAGACCCGTGGTGTTGTGGTGGCGGTAGCATGCTCGTCGGGTGCTCTGAGGTGCTGGGACGGCAGGGGGGGGGGGGGGGCGGCGCGGTGGAGGCGGCAATCAGGCCGAGTTGTCGCTGAGGGACACCAAAGTCGGACCAATTAGGGTTCTAGAGCTCGTTACCTCCCCAAACTAACCGAGAGCCGTCTGACTGGGATCGGCCGGCAGCCGGATGCCGGACGGGCGGATCGACGCGGGCTGCAGACAGTGGCGAGCGCTAGCACCATCCGCGGCTAGATGAACGGACGGAGAAGCCTATTTTCACCGAGACGGCGCCGTAAAGAAAGCCGACGGCGACCGAAAACCACAGCCTCCGCCGCGACTGGTGGCGACGCGACAGCTGCGGCGCGGCGTCTCCGACCGTCGCAGAGTGCCGAATATCACCCCAGCTGTGGTGAGCGGTCCATCGGGACGGTCTGCTTCTCTCCTGGGAGACGGCGGAGACGGCTGATCTCGCCGCCACAGCCGCCCAGAGAGCCGTAACAGACCCGGTCCGGCCGGCTCACCAGACGCCAGCCGAGACCCATGCCCACCAGCTTCGATGGCATATTTCATGCCGGGTGAAACTTGGAGCCAGCCGCCGGCGCGGGAGCTGACGCCAATGCAGACACATGGGGGCAATGCTGGAGTCGACCGGAGCGGAACTGCACCCCATAGGTCACGGGTCACGGGGCGCCGGCTGCTGACGGATGGACCGCCCCCCCCCCTCATTGTCCCGCCGTGTCTCGACCTGGGAGCGCTGCTGCGCCTCCGAAATGTCTGCGTGGGCTGTTTAGTACCTACCGTTTTCTGGTCTCGCAGCAATAAGCTGATTTATATCAGCTACTATATTCTGCTATGCGGGGCTATTCGCTGCTATTTCAGTGATGTATGACAATATTTTGAAGGTCGTAATGCTCGCGGAACCACAACCCAACCGCCACCGACTAAAGTCGCTATATGTACAGCCACCGCTGCTTCGGTCGCGCGGCGACGCAACTTCGCAACTGTTAGAAACTACTTTTTTCACTGTGTCACTCTCACTGTCACTGTTTTTGCCACATGACTGTGGAATGTGACGACAAAGCTTTGCATAACTACTTTTATTGCTAGCTAATCTGAAGTCAAAATCGTTCTTATTTATCACGTACCGACAATTACGTATATATGCTATAAATTTCCTGCTTACGCCATTGCCTGTTAGTCTTACCTGGGCCGATTTGCAAAACGATCGGCCACTAAAGATTTATATTTCATTCTCCTGTCAACTCGGCACAGATTGCAAAACACTGCATTTGTATTTAGTGCCTGTTTGTTTAGAACGACATATAAGTGTCCGCCTTTACCCCTTTTTTATAAGATCGACTTCTCCCCCCCAACCATAGGCTGGGGAGGGGGACCTCGACTGAGCTTGGGGTCGTGGGGGAGGGGCAGATGCCGGAGTCGGCCCTCTGATTTACAGCCGGCCTAACGCCTCCCTGATGACGCTTGATCAGGCACCGGATGTGGGCGACGCCTGGCGAAAGCACCAAATAATTCCGCCCGCCCACCCGTTGTCAAATCAAAAACGCTCTAATGCGTTCAAGGAAATTGACATTTTGACGTACCAGCGCTAGCCATTGGCTACACATGACCTTAGCTGTCGACTGGAAGGAATGCAATTCAAGTCAGCCATCGGGTTAGCCTCAACTACTCGAATGCAACGTATTGGCGTTGCTGAATATATGCATCGAAACGTGACAGTTCGATGCATTTAGGGAAATGAACTTGCACGTTGTTAATCATATCGCCGTGCTGAAAATATCAAATGAAATCCGTCTTACCAATTGCAACCAATAATCACTAAATCATCCACTCCCACAGCACCATTTCTCAGCCATAGACAACTCGGGACGTTATTTTTCAAAGAATTGCTCGGAACAGACGTCAGACGACTAATCTTTAAACAAACCACCCGACTTTATTTTGTTTACGCTTCGACATAATGGCTGTTTGCTCTATAAACTCGCTCCAGTCCATCTTCCGCCAGCCTGTTGTGGTCCCATTAAAAGTGAACAAACTTCCCCCGAGGATAAAAACTCGGGTGATCTCGCTCGCTCGGCGGCGCAGCAGAGAACTCCAGCCGCGTTACCAGGCTCGTGACGCCTCCGCGGCTGTTCAGAGCGCCACCGTCCACCTGCCGATGCGTTGATTACAGGCGATAGGAGCCAATCGCAGACGATCGGTAGCCACCCCGCCCCTCCCCCGCCCCCCGCGTGGGTGATTATCGCCAGGTGCGTGCGTCCAGCGCCGATGGCGACGGACCGCCGGCGGCACGGGGGGTGCACAGTGGGCGCCGGGCGGCGACAGGAAAACCGCATTACGGCCGCGCGCGGGGCGCTGGCTCCAGTCCCCGGAGAGGGGCGACGGTGACAGCGGGAGACTGATCGGCGCCGCTGACTAACGTCGAACCCGACAGAGTCGATAGCCAGCGCCGGCAGGCTGATGTCGGTACAGACAGTCGATGGTGACAGGCTGTTGTAAGAACAGGCAGACTGCTCACCGGGCTAAAGTAAATAGCAGACACCGGCGTGTGTCTAACATTAGCGTTCTACTACAGTCAACGCGGCAATTCTAAAAAAAAACTCCTGACAAACGCACAATGGACTGATAAAGCCCGGCGTTTGATCTTTGATGTATCAGTTTCAAACGGTGCATTTCAACGCTGGTGAAACTGCATTATGCATTGGCTAAATTGCGCCCTGTCATAGAATGTGAAATGCGTGGAGTGTGATAACGTGTTATCATCATTGCGAATAATTAGAAGGTGTCATGGCACGATGCGTCTTAAAGCTGTTTTATCAGGAGGGCGTTGATAATAAATATATGTACATGTTGACATTTGACCTGTAGGGTCATATGTCCTTTCAATAGCTGAGGAGCAGCCTGACAGCTTTGTAAGACGACATTGTATCACCTAGGCCGCCTTATACCTACATACCTTCTGCCACGCTCGATGCTGATGGCCAATGGCCATGTTCGTTCCCTGTCCAAACGTTCCCATAGGACCGGCACTGACTGCCCGACAACACGACGAGGGAGAGACGAGACGGCAAGGAAGCGAGGGACGAGACAGGGATTCCACGCGTAGCGCCAGACCACCGATCACGCCTAGTTTATATGCAGATGCGTTCACTCAGTATGCAGATGGCAGCGACAAAAGTCTTATCCTTCCTGTCGCTGTCCCCCAAAGAACTCGGCTGATCGGTGAATCATCGGCAAACTCGACAGGGTGCTGACGGTGGAGGGTAGATTGGTGCTTTGTCTGTATGGCTTTTTAGTCTACATGGCTTTTAGTATGGCTTTGTAGTCATCGGTCAACAATCTGAAGCAACAGGTATACAAATTGTGCCACGGACAAAAATTAGACTTGGACTAGCGATTATCAGTACCGTTAGAATTGGTTGTAAAAATCTGGTGTAGGTGAATAGTCACTCTCGCGATATGCACCGTGCGCAGACAATAAAATGAAATATCTAGAAATAACATCATCTGCTATATGATGCTTCCTTTTGGTTTCTTACAAACAAAGTAATACCCGACAATATTCTTTCCATTTCAGAGCTCAACTGATTCCTCTTATCCAATGATCTATTGATTTAGCTATAGAGCGAGATGGCCCACTTTTTCGGAGTTCGGATCCTTTTTATATCTAACTTCATGTTCAAGTTCATATTCCCCCAAAATGTGTGTTCCTCTTGTCTCTTGCATTAGGCGTCTACATTTGTCACCATTTTAACTGATGTTTTCTGGCCGTGTTCCAGGCTGCACATCACCGGTGTGGTGGACAGTGACTCCGGAGTCTACACATGCTCCCCGGTCGGCATCGACCCCGTGTCTGCCGTGCTGCACGTCATCAACGGTACGTCATCGGCGTCAACACCGTCATCAGCGACAACAACACAACACAGCACGGCGACAATGCACCGGAATCGAAATGCACTGTCACGGAGTGCACGAACTACGCTGACATTTCCAGTTATGGGTGGATTTGGATGCTTTGCTTTTATTGTTATTTGATCTGAAACCAACCACACTGCTGTGACTGACCTTAGTGGCCTGCTCGATGCCCCTTTGTTCTGGTAACACAAAACTATTTCTGTTTTTCTCAGAACCCTCCTAAATCTGGACCAAACACTGTTCTTAATCCACGTTATTTGCGAGCGTGCTATCCCGCCGGCGCTGAGGTATTTTCGCTCACCTACTTACCGGGGCCGCATAGATCAGTAGTTTATGTGAGCCTCATCGGGCGCGGGCATGCCTTTAGCGGCGAGGGCGCGTTCGGTCGCTTTACGGGCCTTTCTGTATAGGGTTGGGGAGGCGATGACTCCTCCCGAGAGACCGAGCGTGTGCTACCGGCAGTGGCGCAGGAAAAGTTGGCCGATAACCCTTCGTCCTTTGACCTGTCGACCCTCCCTGCTTGCAAGAAACATTGTGAGACCCCAGACTTCCTGGTCGGCCGCCAAATTTATCGCCCAGACTGTTCGAATATTGATCATCCATGCAATCGATCGCATGCACGGCTCGCAGTCCACTTCACATATTTATCAGATTGAAGAATGGACGATGAAAATCGATGTGAATGTCTGGGGAGTGCGTTTCTGCTGTGCGTTACGATTTTCGAAGTGCTGTTTGGTACGGCAGCAATCACAAGCAATAAGGTCGACGGACGTCAGCAGTTTCAACTGAGCCGACAGTTCTCGTCGGATCATCATGAGCCCGAAGCAATCGTTTAATGTCCATAGCGTGCCGTTTCGATTTACGAGGCGTTCTAAAACGCACTTAAATCTCACAACCGGTGCAATACTTCCGAGAACGAACTCACACACCCACAAAAGTCGCCATCCGATGGCAAGATATGGGAGCGAACGCTTACTCGGCAACTGGGTCGGTCGTTCCCTTTTGTAACTGCGTGGGCGACTCGTAACGACACCGTCGTAGCGGCGCCGGCGACCCTAGTGTGCCCAAAAAGAATTGTCGAACGCGCCACTGAACGACAGTGTTTGTCTCTCGGCGGAGACCGGCGCGGAGCTCCATTAACGCAGGACGGACCAATCGCGCCGCCGGCCGGCCGCCGCCAAAGCCTGTCGGCTTAGCGAGGTCCGGCTCGGCCCCAGCGGCTCACGGCTCATCTGTGGTCTGGCCGCGGCCCGCCAGGTTAGCTGCCCGGCTCGGTCGGACGCGAATGAACGCGGCCGGCTCGGCACTAACGCGGCTCGGCGGTTAGTTGGACGTAATTTGACCCGTCTGGCAGACATCCTGACATTCAGGATGTGAAATACGAACACCTCGAGGGTAATGATGCGGACATGGCAGACGATATCGACGACAGATATAGCATTCGTTCACTTAGCGTGTTGGGCAGGTCACTAAAATGAGCATGTACAGGGTGATTCATAGCCGTGTGACCGAAAATAAATGAAAACTACAGGAAATGCATTCGTGTTACATGCCATTGCCAAGTACCATATTAAACAGCCAAATCTGAAGTTTTGATCCATGTATAGCATCAGTCACAAATACTTTTCCTTCGACTCCCACACTTCTTTTAGACAAGATGTTCAAAATGGCCACCTCGGCGACGGATGCACTCCAGCGCCAGAGCCTAGAGTTGGCGATGGCGCGGACGCACAACATTTCTAAGGAAATAGAACCAAAGCAGCTTCCAATGGCATCCTTCAGCCCCAGAATATCCTGGGGACTCTCCTCATAGACCTCGGACTTTGCATAGCCCCAGAGGAAGAATTCCACGACGTTGAGCTCCGGCGAGTGTGACGCCCACCTGACCTCAGCGCTCTTTGAAATCAAGTTTCCGAGGAATCAGTCGTGAAGAAGAACATTACTAAGACAGTGTCTCAAAGCGATAGCTTAAGATTAGAATCGCAACTTACAATGGAAGAGTTAACTAACGCGTTACGTTCTATGAAAAGAGGGAAAACACCGGGATCAAATGGCTTTCCCGTTGAATTTTTTAGAACTTTCTGGGCAGAACTAGGGCCATTTTTACACAGAGCTTTTATCGCATCACTCACACAAGGCCAAAAATTAAATTCTCACAGAGAAGGGATAATAAAAATGATTCCCAAACAAGGTAAATCACCACATTCATTGAAAGGGTGGAGGCCGATAACATTGTTAAATGTCGACTATAAAATAGTTTCATCCGCCGTAGCTATTCGTTTCAAGAGTATAATAGATAAAATAATTAGCTCCTCCCAAACTGCTTATATATCTGGAAGATATATTGGAGAAAATACTCGCTTACTTTTTGATACAATAGAGTCAGTAAAAGAAAAGAATATGGACGCAATGATTCTAGCTGCAGACTTCGAAGCGGCTTTCGAGTCAGTATCGTGGACATATTTAAGATCAGTCCTCCGATGTCTAAAACTCGGCCCCTATTTCTTAAAAATGATTAACTGTCTGTATCTTAATCCTGAAAACTATTCCCGAATTATGATCAACGGACACTTAAGCCCGGTTCTGACTGCCGTTTTTCGATCGTTTGGTGGATCGTATGGTGATCGTATCGTGATCGTATGGTGATGGGATGGGGATCGGCACGCCCGTTTCCCGATCGCCGCGATGGTAATCGTATGTGTGCAGTGAGAACCGGGAAAAAACGTGACTGTGCGCGTCGTTCGGTAGCGGCAGATCGTACGTCGTAGTGCGTTCCGTCGAAAGATGGATTGAGTTTATCTTTTGTCTTGATCGTATCGTACAGTTGACATCGTGTGGGGAACTCGCTGTGCTGCAGCTTTTCTTGCTGCTGTCTTGTGGAAGGTTTGCGCTAAAATATTTGATATAACTTATCTTATTAGTAAATCACGGTGACTATAAATAAATAAGCTTGATTGACATACTTATAATCAAAGTAGGTACTTCCACTTAGAAGATACCATACGAAAAATCATTGATTCGTTCAGGTGCGTCAATTACATCAAAGTATTAATTTTATTGCACGAAAAAGCCTTACCCAATAATGTTAATTTGATACTTAAATTCAGAAATGTTTTAACTACATTTAACCTCTTTTTAAGTCTGAAAAGTATTAATTTCCCTCTTTATAGATCTCGTCCCGTTCATGGCGGCCAATCAACACGCTTCCCTCAGATGACGTCATCTGTGCGCCTGCGCTCTGCCGAGCTGGCAAGCCTCGTGGTGACCGGCGATTTACCGGCGACACTGGAGATGGTACATAGATATCTTACCAATGAATTTCTGTCAATTTCAACGAACCGATTTTCAAGAAAACCGATGCACAGCATTCACAATACTCACTTTTAGGTTGTAGGTTACTTTCCAGGACAATTTGACATGATTTTCTATTTTTCCACGCATTTTCAAAATTGCGTACCTTCCACGGCCGAGAATGGTTTCCGCCGCCATGCTGCTCCAATCAAGCCGAAATGTTGATTAACTTCACGGAATAGTCAGAGCCGACTACTCAAACTAAATTATTGAATTAGAGAGATGTTTTAAACTACATTTAACGTCTCTTCAAGCGTAAAAAGTATTTATTTCGTTCTTATCTATCACCGCCGGCAGTAATGGCGGACGCAGACTCCCACACGATACCCACGATTCGCACGATACGGTCTACCAGTTACCAGATCGTATCGGGCCTAGAGATTTTTATCTTTTTCCGCCAGCCACGCTCACCATACGATCACCATACGCTTACCATCCGCTCCGATCGATTTCGGCAGTCAGAACCGGGCTTTAGGCTCAGCGATAACGTTACAGCGTGGAATCAGACAAGGCGACCCGTCTTCAGGATATTTGTTTAATATTGCAGTCGAAGTTTTAGCAGGGTTAATAAATAAATCTAAATCAATTAAAGGAGTTAATGTATCCCCAAATAAACAAATCCGAATTTCACAATATGCCGATGATACGATCTTGTTACTTGACGGAACAAGCACCTCGATATCAGGCGCCTTAGAGATATTGATGAAATTCGCTAAACTATCAGGACTAAAAGTAAATCTAGACAAAACGTCATGTCTACCAATAGGAACATTAACAACAGACCAACTATCTTCCAGGTGCCATATAAAGGTAGTGAAGGAACTCAAAATTCTTGGGATTTATTTTAGCAACAATACTGACAATATTACGCAGCGAAACTTGGAGGAAAAAGTTCATAATATTAACAGAGATATCGAACAATGGAAAAGAAGAAATCTCACCCCAATAGGGAAAATATGCATAATTAAAGCCTTACTAATATCCAAGCTAGTACACATATTTATGGCACTGCCAAATCCCCCTGCCCAACAGATAAAAGAGATTGAAACCCTTCTTTACAACTTCATATGGTGTAACAAGGGGGATAAAATAAAACGCACCAAACTCATCCAAAGGTATGAACGCGATGGACTGAAGATGGTAGATGTTAAGGCATTCATCGATAGCATGAAACTAGCATGGCTGAAGCGGTTAATGATATCTAAAGCTGAATGGACACATGTGGCGTACACACAGATACCCGATGCGACAAGATTGCTCACTTACGGGAAAGAAAAACTGTCTGTGGAAAAATCCAAGATAACTAACACTTTCTACAAAGATATCATAAACGCCCTTATGAGACTGGCTACAGTTTATAAACCAACCGCAGAAGAAATTTTATCGGAAACAATCTGGTTCTCGGATCATACTAAATTTTCCAAAACCATCATCACTGCATGGGAAAGGAAAGGACTTCGTTTTATTTGCGATTTGTTTGACAAAACAACCGAAAAATTGTATTCTAGAGAAGAAATAGAAAATAGTTATCAAATTAAAATGTCCTTTCTCTGCTACGAGGGTTTAGTACGTAGCCTCCCAAATTGTTTGCGGTCCGGTGAAAAAATAACAATTGATAATCCAAACATACCTTTTAAAATAAAATTGGTGATGAATGAACAAAAATTTTCGAAGTATGCATACAACATATTTGTTCAATCCCTTACCCAAAAACACATATCAGCCGACCGGAGGATTAAAGAAAAGTGGGTACGAGATACCGGTAGTCACATCATAGGAACGACAAAAAATGTATTACTTGCCACCATGTCCACTTATTTTATGTATTTTCATTATAGAATAGTTACACGCTTATTTCCAACAAACAAATCGCTACATCTAATGAAAATAGAGCCGTCGAGCGAATGTTCCTTCTGTCGAGAACCGATCGAAACACTAGTTCACCTCTTATGGTTCTGCCCAAAAGTTAAAATATTTATCAAAGAAGTTTTATCACACATAAAGCAAAGATATAACAAAGCTATATACGTTAACATAACAAACTGGTTCTTTCTTAACGATATGCAAAGCATAGATATCATTGTCATAACAGTTTGTAAATACGTCGTACACAGGGCCCGATTGAATAAAAGCACCCCTTCTCTCAATTTCATGCTAAATACGCTGAAGATGGAAGCGCAAAAAGAATACAATCGATATAAGTCAAAGGACAAACTGAACGAATTTCAGACAAAGTGGGGAACACTCGCACAAATTCTGCAAAGCAACTAATTGAGAAAACAAGGTCGCCGCGGCATCCCCGGAGCTTCCGGCCCACGCACCCACGCACACACACGCACGCACCTATACACACACACACAAATGCAAACACACACCCACACCCACACCCACCCACACACACACACACCTATACACACAACACAAACATCACACACAAACACATACTCTCACATGCCCGCTTTCTCTAAGAAACGCCTCTGTTGCATAGCGTGTCCCGCCCGCCCCTAACCCAACCCGGCTAACCGGAGGCCGGCCCTATTAAGGGTCGGCCGGCCGGCCGGGCGCGCGGCTCGCCACCCTATCAGGGTGACGGGTCGCGGGCCCGGCCGGCGGCCTGGGGCATCGCCCCAGCGAGAACGAGTACATGTGGGATTCGCGGGGCGATGCGGGGCGGGGCGATTTTTGTGAACGTTTGGTGCGCTCGCATTGTGACATGCCCAATATGTGCAAGCATCCATATACATGAGTGACATGTGATTCACGATGTACGTGTACCTATACATCATATGTGCGTATATGAACGAAATAAATTAAAAAAAAAAAAATCCCAAAAAAAAAAGTTTCCGGGGTTCGCTTGCCATTTTTTTTTGGGCCGTGTTTATCACTGAACCGTGCCCTCTGCTTTTAATTGATTAACGATTCTATGAATTGTTATTTTCTTTGGAGTTTCCCTTGGGTGCAAGGCGCCCTCAGACGTGCAGAAACATCTTTGTGTTTGCTTGACGGACTGCGTTAACCTATACAAATTACACATCTTTACTTTTTGCTGCGCTGTGTACTTCTTGAGCGATACACACAGACCAGACCAAGATAGAACAAAACTTCATAAAATTTTCTACTAGCACGTGAAAATTCACGCGGAAACATGCAATCGTCTTCTCAAGAGAGATCAACTAAATAGGTCACATGGCTATGAATCACCCTGTATGTCATGCATCAAAACTACTTATATCAAAACGTTACATTGCTGCAAAAACTAAAATCGTTATGGAATACCAATGCTTGTTTTTCCGAATGTGTCGATGTTTGGCGTCATCACAAGCAAAAATGGCTTTAAGAATATCTCTAAGTAAGCGAAATTTATTGACATCTCTTCCCAGCACATTGACCCAACTCCACTCTCACACAATAACTCTCCGCTATTAGACGTACAGGATGATTTTTGCTGTCAGTTGGACCGTTTGATTTTTTCCACCTCGAACTTTTTCCACCTCATCCTGGCTGCCTCAGTTCAACTCGTTCCTACCCGACCTCACCCGACTCATCCCTATCGGCCCGTTCTGAACCGAACCGTCTCCGCTCAGTGCCTGTTTTCGGACCGTCTGGAGGGAAAGGTACTCCTTCTGGCGTAGGAAGCACTTTGTATGTCGTGGAAGCACTCGGTCTGACGCAGGGAGCACACCGTCGTCTAACGCAGAAAGCATAGACAGTTTAACCCGGCAGTCTAAGGCAGGAACGCTCCGTCTGCCGCGGGCCCCTCCTTCTAACCCCTGCAGCACTCCGTCTAACTCCGACAACTGAGCCTAACTCCGCCAGCACTCTGTCTTACTCGGGTGACACCCTTTCTAATTCCGGTAGCTTTATTTCTAGCTCCGGAAGCACTCTTTCAAATTTCGGAAACACTCTAACTAATTCCGGTGGCACTCAGTTTAACGTGGGTGGCACTCTGTCCGCCCAGCCAGGGCTGGAAAAAGTGTTTCGGTGGTTGTCGTCCAAAGGAAAACGGGCTTATTTGGTTGTCAACTCAAGATGTCTAACCCGCGCCCGCTGGGGGTCCTTGATTTCCACGCCCTGCTCGGGAGGGGGGGGGGTCAAACACCCCGCCCTTTTAACTCGGATCCTGGTCACGTAGTGACAAGCAGTAAACGGCATTCGAAAGAACGTCCAAAATAAGGGCGAAAATATGACATTCGTTTTATAGGCTAAGTCAAAGGTCAGGTCACCGGAGGTCATGAAAGATATTGCATTTCAATTTTTTTTAACACCGGCGCACAACTCGGGAACCAATCATATAGAGCTGTACAGCGCCGCGGAAAAGATTAGACAGCCCTTTTGACCCTTTCGGTGACCCTTCGACGGTGCCACTGGTCGACTTCCACTCACCTTTGAACAAAACGTGCTCAAGTTGGTACACTTCAGTCGTGCAGACGCCACGTACCCTGCGTGCGAATATATTATGATTCCGCTCCTTTTTGATAGCGCAGGGCGCTCAGCCGTCAGGCTCAATTGTCCGACGATCCGTGTTCCTCGACCTCTGAAGTCCTGAGCCTCCATATCCTCGTGGGCATGACATGGCGTGCCCTCCCCTCGGCCTCACCAAAACATTACCGGCACTGACACGGTCCCACTCAAGATGTCCCGCCGCGGACCTACCCCCAGGCGCCACCGGGGTGGGTTTTGACGTCACAAAAGGAGCCCCGGCGGATTAGAGGGGACGCTAACTGGCCGCCGGCCGGGGGCGGCGCTGAAGGGTGCGGGCAGGGGCCGGCCGAGTCCTGGAATGTACTAGATTTGCCAGACACGTGTTGCCAGCGGACAACCACGGCGACCACTTGGTATGCCATTGGTCGTCTTTATGAGGGTCGCCGATCGGCCGTCTGAACGATGGTCGAACGACGCAGCTACGGGGAGCTGCGTACTAAATAGCTACGGGGAGTTGGAATATGTCTGTAGCTACCAGGAAATTTTCCACTGGGATGCTGCCGCGTACGGGAGGTAACGGACTCGAGAACTGCGAGTCGATGTGATGGGAGGGACAGAGAATAGTTTGCGTGGGCAGAGGCGATTGGGTTGGGTGGGCAGAGGCGGATGGATTGCGCGCTTCTAACCGCACTAAGCGGGAGGTCTTAATCAGTTCAGGCGCGGCGCGTGGTCGCCATAAGATCGTCTTCTCGGTTGTCGTCGACAACGACAAAACGATACAATTTTTCACCCCTGCGCCCAGCCAATAATGTCCGACCGGGTGTCATTTCTCTTCTGATGCCCCACTGCAGCCGGCGCCAGCTCATAAATGTTTCGTCGCAGATGAACGAGCCCTGATTGCCGCGATCGTTACGCGGCTGGAATCGGCTCCATAACGACCGGCAATGCATTGTGGGCGACCGACGCCGAATGCCGTATGGTCAGAACTGATATTGGGACGTTTGTTCTCTGTGCCGGAGAAGTTCTCCAGCTTAGGTATTTGTGCACATCCGGCAATACAGATCACAGTGAGAGGTGGTCTACAGCGCAGCTGTTGACACTATAAAGAAACTGTTGTTGATATGACGGCTAAAAATAGAAAACGTTTTGTAATAAGCACACACGGCTCATGTGAAGACGATGGACCTTGGGACAATGAGAGAAGCCAGCAATCGTTTCGCAAATAATCTTGTAGCTTTAAAAGTAACGCGTCATTTCTAGAAGTCAACACATGAGCAAGTGAAATAAAGATTTTATCTTGTTATCTACTTGTACATTTCACTCATCCATCTACGCATTGTATTCGCTGTTCACAAATGATAATATGTAACAACTCCTGGACTAACAGCCTCCGCTGCTGCTATAACTCAATGGCCTAACCCTAACGTCTCAGCATTGCTCTCTGTTTCAGGTGAGCATCCGGCAGCGATGCAGCACAACTCTGCCAGGTGCCGGCAGTGCGGCGGCTCTCCGCTGCTGGTGCTGGAGCTGGTGCTACTGATGGTGCTGGTGAACCACTCGATCCGCCGGTGAAACTGCGCCCAGGCCACCGGAGTGCGCAGTCAGCGGTCAGATTATGGGACGTGACAGTCCAAGTGACGGGACACTAGAGGACGGAGTGAAACATTGATCAGTGACGCAGTGACCGCAGCGCAGTGACCGCAGCGCAGTGAGCAGTGACCTCGTGTGGGAGCCCCATGGGCCGATGGGCCACTGACGTAATTATGACGTAACAGTCACGGCAGGGATGTCTGCGCCCGGTCCCTGCCGAGTGCCCTCTACAGCTATAGAAACTAGCTTATACATACGAAGCCCATTACACTCACTGAGCCATGCAAGTCTCCTGCGCTCCACGATATGCGCTGAATCTGCCATAAAACCTGATCACAAAGAAGGCGGACAGCTGATACTCGAGCTCCGTTGTCCTGTTTATGTGCTGTTTGGTGTTCGGAGAAACTGTGGATTGTGAAAGATTGTGGAAGAGTGTGGTGCGAAATTCGAAAATGAACTAACGTTCTGTGGTGACTGACTGCTCCCCCGCACTTTCGAGCCCTTCCCCACCCTGAGTCCGGAATGGTGAGAACTGGCAATATGGTCCGATCGACTGAGAAGAAGCGTGGGCTGCCCTTTGAGCGCTCCGGTGGGGACAACTGGGCCGGCCATCGGAGGAAGCCGTGAACTCGGAGTTACGGCTGGTCTTACTATGTAGATAACTGAGACGCGCAGTGGGTAATAAGTGAGTGACTCAGCAGGTCTGGTCGGGAGAGACACGAGACAGCAGGCAACTGATGAGAAATCGGTGAACATTCTACTGGGAGACAAATGCAAGGCAGCAGGAAGCGTCCTGTGTATGGCCACTCGTGAGGCATCAGGATTCAGGATGCAATATGCAGAGAGACACTAGCCGCGTTTACATAGGGCTAGTTGCCAGATAGTGGAATTCCGATACCGAGACATTTATTCCACTAACGAGACATTTCAGGCACATTCCGCTAGTTCTGACGACCTATCCAGCCAGAAGGCCGGATAGTTCTTCAGAACTAGCGGAATTTGCATGACATGTCTCGTTAGTGGAATAAATGTCTCGGTATCGGAATTCCACTATCTGGCAACTAGCCCTATGTAAACGCGGCTACTGACAGCATTGAGCATTCTGCGATGCGGCACTCGTGTGGCAGCGGCGAGTGCTGATGCATGCTCCTGAGACAGCAGTCAGCGTTCCGCTTATAGACCCGGATGCTCCACTGTATCCCAGAACGAACAGCGGGGGCCGCGCGGTGTGCTGACATCGGCAACAATGGCAGATTGTGTATGTGTTCCGTATATATGCGTCAATGTGAAGTGGAAATCAATGGTATTTGTGCTATGGAAAATGGACAGAATTATGCTATAAGGACGCCGCCAAGTATGTATTCGGCAAACACTCGGCCGTCCTTAAATAGACTGAAAGTGTGCAATATGAAAAGTTAGATGTCAAATGAGACACGGTGTATGCAATGTATGTAAACAACATAAATACCCAGTGCAGTTTATCTATGACTGTCGCTAAATGAGAAATGCAAAACGCAACAAATAAACCAGAACGATGCATTGGCAAAATTGATTCATCTGCAGAAAATTTGTTTCTTTGCTTTCAGTGGAAGCGATTAGCATAAAGTTTTCACTTTGAAACTTGAAACTTGTTATTTTATATGATAGAAGTGAATTTGAAATATGTATTCCGTCAAATGTCAGGTTTTCAAGTTGATACGCATATCTTCCTCATCGATGGTTGTCCTTAACTTCAATGTTGTTTTCCTGCTCTTGTTTAGAGGTTGGCTTAATTTCTTTTCTATTTAGTCTCTGTTTTCGAAAATGTGAATAAACGTAGACCTTTCAATTGTCGAAAATGAGCAACTACATTTCCTTGTAAAATAGAATATTTTCACTAAGAAGAAAAACAGCCACAACACAGCATTACTTTCGTCGATCGTAAATAACAATGTCGCTATAATTACAATTGTATGATATGTGTATTGTGTATCGTAATAAAGTGACCGTTGCAAGTAACGAATGATGCGCAATGCGTGGAAGTTTTTGACGAATGCAATGGGGATTGGTCAGTGTGCGATGTGCGAAAGCCAGAAATGTGTTTGTTGTCTGTTGATTTGTGCCCAGAAAATTATGAGAACATGAGAGAGAATGAAAATACAGCCACCCTATGTGAACTGTGTTTGTGCTATTATTGCCGTTAAGGACATCATTTAACTTGACTTTATCAAGATGTGGAGAAAATACTCGTCACACTTCATTTTCAAATCGATCTGCTATTTCATATAGGTACTGAGAAATGGATAGCTCACCAGCAAACTACACGTATAAATAAATGGTTAAGCTGACCGCCAATCACGTTGGCTGTAAGCAGAATCTCTGACATAAGAAAATTATATAAATCGTTCTTAAACAAACAACATTGTATTGAGCAAACGCAAGCAGCTATGAGCTCATTTTTGTGATACATAAATCAGCATAAGCTGCATGAAAAACGCCGCTTTCATAGTCATAAAATACTCAAAGTGGTCGGAATGGAAGTCTGATTCCGGCGTAAAGACAAACGTCCGCCATCCGTAAGCTATTGGATCTGGCCCGCTGTTTTATTACTGCGGTAGACCACACAAGGCATTTTCAGAGGTTGAGACAAACGAGCGAAATAAATAATAAAGGAGTTCCATTGCTGATAAATGCAAGTACGCTGCAATTGGCTGGCTTGATGTTAAATATAATACAGTTTCCGGCACATGATGCTATAATGTACTCTTGTTTTCTTTCTGTAAATATTTTTCCCGTCCTGTTCGCTCTACATCTCCATTCTCCATGTCTTTTTCTATTTATCTCTCTTCTTCACTCTCTCTCTCTCTCTCTCTCTCTCTCTCTCTCTCTCTCTCTCTCTCTCTCTCTCTCTCTCTCTCTCTCTCTTCCTCTCGCTCTCCGTCTCTCTATATCTGTCGTTTTCTCTCTCTTCTTATTTGTTGTATTATTTGATTTTATCTGTTGATTTGTATGGCTCTGAACGAGCCATCAAGACGACCTGCTGGGCGGAAAATCAGCACCGGTACCGAATACAATAATTTGTGGCGGCCCGTTAGCAGAATAAATCAAGAATCAAGAATCAAGAATCAAGAATCAAGAGTCAATAATTCAGTTTCATGAATATCGCTATCGACATCCGCTTTGTTGTAAGCGATAACTCATAACGAAGTAACAAATGCAGAAACCAATAAGGCGATGATAAATAAAACATTTCTTCCAATACGATGCCGGATAATTAAATAAAGACATAAACATACGGTGGCTGCATTTGACATGACACGAGCGTCGCATCCAATTAATATCGCGGATTTTTGGTGTACCTATCCGTTCAGGGCAAACTAATGTTATAAAAATGCCTATCGTTGGCAAACAAAACCTTCATTGCTTTTATCTTTTTAGAAAAGCATAAATGTACGGATAGTTTCACTGTTCACATATGGCCAACGGTGGCCTAACATCAAACATGCGAAATGAAGAATCCGAATTGAAAATGTTGTAACGAGAAAAGAAAAGAGGGTCATTAAGATTGCAGTATGGAAGGTGAAATGAGACCGACAGCTATTCTCTCCTGTTTATTATGAATGTTATTGCTGATGAAAAATATACGGAACGGCGCGCCTTTATAAAAAGCGAAGAAAAAGTTTGAAAGCACTTGTAGACCTAAATTCTAATTTTAATTTAAATCTATCGTCTGGCAAAAAGAAAAACATAAGCTCAAATGGGCCACCGCTGAAACGTACGGCACTATAGTTCGTTTATTTTCAAAAGGACGCTGGCTCCAAGTTCATTATCGAAGCTCTCACGTGAGTTTTGGCAGCTTCAGTGTCTGGTCAAGAATTTCTTACCGAAAAAAATTATCGATTTCAAATTTTGCACGGTAAGTAGCTGGAAATTGTGTCTTAAAAAATGAACGAACTGTGATGACGTCATTGGCGGCAGCAGGCACCCAGGTGTCCGTGCAATGGGACAAAGTGTCGACTAATTCGGGTGAAACCTCGTTGTTCAATGTTGCCGAGGTTATAATCGAGTAAGCGGTTCCGTCAATGACACTTAAACGTTACATTGCAATACAAGTTCGACAGCATGACGTCACCACTGTTTTCATATCTGGTTCCAAAACGCACATATGGAAATTATCGGGAAGAAATCACATGTTAAAATAAGTCGACGTTCGATTTTCTTAAGTTCAGTTTTTGCTCGTTTTGCTCGCTAAAACACGTGCTTGTTCGAAAAACATGCTTGGAGCCAGAGTCCTTTTGAAAAAAAAACGAACTATAATAAATTCATCCTTTGAGAACAATTTTTTGACTTCTTCTTTTGTCTTCCCATCAACAATTATCTTATCTTATACATTCCGCTATCTGTATTCATCTATGGCAAGCATATTTAATGAAATCCTAATTAACCTTTTGCGTTCCTGCCTCCTGATACTGTTTTGGGATTACCACGCAGGTAAACGACGCGAAATCAGTACAGGTAATCAGGCGCCATGGGAGGGCAGAGCCTTATCAAGATCCAGGAGCGCGGTGCCGGCTTGTTTGCCATTCAGGGGGCCGTGTGCGTTCGGTTCATTTGCGCAGTCGCCAATGGGCCGACATTAATGAACACTGAGGTAATGGGTGTATAGTCCAGCGATCTATGCTTGATAAATTACTGATGGACACAAACTGGCAGAGAACGCGGCAATCTATAGCTCTTCAGCCTCTGGGCAGGCAGTAGCAAACACGGAAATGCCACAGCAGTATGATAAAAATCATTCCAGTGGTTCGCTGGTTTTGTAAAATCAAATCTGTCGAGTACCTAACAATAAAACCATTCTTTTTGCAACTCAAGAAGGTCGGGGACTTTTCTGAAAAGGGATTATTGTTGCATGCATCAATGATATCACCAATCAATGCATACGTAGATAAAAGTTAAAATCAGGGTGTATTTACCCACGTAGTACGCCTATATGTATATACCTATAAAGTACCTACGTTTTTCAATGAACGCCCCATTAACCCGCGCCCTGGTGGGGTCTGTTTATAACGCGACCTGGTGGGGGGGGGGGGGGCTATTTTTTGCCCCCCTCGTATCTCCGAAACTACTGGACGGATCCGCAAAATTCAAACGGCGTTCGAAAGGCCTGTCAAATTTGTCGAAGGAAACCAAATTTCATTGACCTCGGGGTCACCGATGACGTCACAGGCCAGGTCAAAGATGAAATGTTTCACCGTTCACGGGTCTTCTAGGGAATGCGCTATAACACCGAGGAAAACGCATTTTGTCGAGAATCAGCGATAGGGCGTCAGTTGCCTAGTCGATATGTTGCTATTAGAGGTCACTGACAATACCAGGTCAGGTCACATGTCAGGTCACCAAGGGTCACAGGTCAGGTCACATGAACCCAACTTTACTTAGGTTGTGTGATGCATGTTTTATGGCCAATTTTTCATTTCCAACTCAATGGTGTTGGTTATAAGACTATCAGGTACGGCTTAGGCCACTTTCTGGTGAAGTTCAGGTCAAGGTCAGGTCAAGGTCATGCCAAAAAAGGTCAAATTTTAAAGTTGATAGTTTTGCATAAAATGGGTATTGATTCGATGCAGCTCGTCACGGGGAGTCTAATGGTGGTCATTTTTTTGCTCTACGGGGTCTAGAATTGCTAAAAATTGAGTTTCAAAATTTGACGTCATCAATTTTGAACAGTTTTTTCGCTATAACTTCGCCAAAAAAAGAGGTATCAATCTTAAATTTGGTATGTGGATGAAAGGCGGTAAGGACTATCACATATATTCCGGTTTTTGCGAAATTCAAAAAACTTTTTGGATTGTTCGATTATTATATCCAAAAATTTACTTTTTGATTTTTGGGGGTCAAAATCCAAAAATTTCAAAAATCCGAGATAGCAGTTTTGTAGCCCTGTTGATTCTACATCTTTTATGTCCTTATCATTTTTCTGTATTTGCAAAGCTATAGGCCTGACAGCTCTTCCCGCGAAACCCTTTTTTGGGTCGAAAACGGCAGAACATGACGTCACTCTGACGTCATTTCCGGCCAACCTATCATAGCTTTTGGAAAAAATTTTGGTCACAATGTGTAAAATTGATGTCCGGGAGGGTACTGAAAGTTTGGTGACGGTCGGCGCAGCGGTTCTGGAGATATAGCGAAAAATCTGGAGGGGGGGGGGGGCAAAAAATAGCCCCCCCCCCCACCAGGTCGCGGGTTAATTGTTTTGATGCTGTCGTTGAAAAGTGATCCTTCTCCACCTCCCACCATAGCACTGCTTGATAGAAGAGTCGAGTTGTTAATGCTAAATATAGTTAATGAGTGCCAGTTATAGCTACAAATGCTTTGGCTAGGTAAGCTCTATATTATATGGCTTATAGATTCACAAAAAAAATTGAGTCGATTGTTGCTTGCAGTCAAAAATAAATAAATGAACAATGCCACACATTTTTGATTAATATCAATAACAAGTACCAACCCAAAGTCATGCCATAAACAGATTGCATAATAGCCGTTTACACGACGGGCTATCCGGCGAGTGCACCTAATTTTGTTTTTGTTTGTTTGTTTTGTTGGGTTAGGCCCTTTCGGTCGACAAGACCATTGCAGAGCCGGAAGGATGATAGGAATTAGGGGGAGACATTGGTCTGGGCAGGCACCCTAGTGAGTCGCCGGGGCTGAGCCCGTCCGAAGACAGGCCACCCAGCCCCAAGGCACTCACTGCACCCGGCTACGGGGTGCGCTCCCTCGGGAGCAGCGGTGCCGCTCCAAGAGAGCAGCCCGCATGAGATAAAGTTGCCTGTCCAGCCCGGAAGGGGGTTGCGGTGTGGAGGAGAAGGATTTCAGTATCCTGAGGATAGAAGCACGGATAGGTGCACCTAATTTGACCAAATCTGCACCTAATCTCTTTTACAGCAAATATCTTTGTTTTATGAATTTATTTCAGTGTTTTAATCGATGAAACTCTCTGATAATATGACAAAGCAGAGATATAAGCAATTAGTGCAGCCCTAGCTGATAGCTTCTAAGAGACACACTGAACCTAATTTGACCAAATCTGCACCTAATCTGCACCAAATGTGCACCGAATGTGTACCAGATGGCCGTCGTGAAAACAGTTAATGTATACCGCATGCCAACGTTGCTAATA